TTTTCGAAACTTATGATAAGAGAGTCATTTATTATTTATTTAATCATTAAATACAATTTTTTTTTTGAAACTTGTGACAAAAGAGCGCTACGTGGTCATTTAAATTGGGAGCTGTTATTTGCATTCAAAAATTATTTCGAACACTTCACTTATATATAAATAAAATGATAATACTAACCCTGACAATCCTAATTAATCTTTTCAATTTTCTCCCTCCTCTCTCAACTCACTCTCTCTTCCATCTCTTCTTCGACTCTTTTTGTGTCATTTATCTGATCGAAGTAAATAAAAAAATATGGACTCACTAGCACCACTAGTCATTTTGCATTCTTTATCATTGTTCTCCAACTGTTTTGTGACGGTCCCAAGCATCATTCTTTAATATACATAAAATGACATTAAATAAAATAAAAATATAACAGTATATATGTAATTTAATTAGATTACCCTCGGGGTTGACGAGGAAAAGGTTATATTTAACTTTTTTTCTCTCTTATTAATCTCGGTAAATGTCCAAAATTATTTTTATACTACTTCCGTTCCATATTAAATGTAACTTTGAGTCATAATTTTTGTAAGTCAAAGTTTCGAAAGTTGAAATCTAATATGGTACATAAGTAGTATATAAGTATATAAATGAAATATGACAAAAAATGACCTCAAATGACTTAAAAATAAAATATAATATGGTAGTTATTCAAAAATTTTCGTAATGGACAATTAATATGGCACAAAGAAAGTACTATTTTATCATTATTTTATTTCTATTTTTTCTTGACACCAAATGGGTGTCTATATCTATAGCCCTCCTCTGCTGCTACATTATCTGCAAAATATATACTGTCAAGTAAAAATAGTGTTTCTTTCTTGGATTTTGAGTGGAGTTATTGAGGTAATGGGCGTAGATATTTAGTGGCAGGTCATGGGGTTTGATCCCTCTGGATGCATGCATGTAGAGAAAATGTCTCCATTTGACCACAAGATTTCAGAAGATGAGTGGAGGGAAAAGGCATAAACTCAGCGATACAAGGACAATCACTGTCTCTATCTACCTATGATTATATATATATTAACATTTGATCCTCTCCAAATCTCACAGTAGTAAAAGTGTCCTACAGTGAGCTATTGGGTTTCTATTTTAGAGCAGTAATTTATTAGATGAGAAGATTTGCTCTGTAAGGATTTTTCTTGTTACGCAAGTCTTGGACTTTAAGAAAATGTAATCCTTAATCAGCAAGGCTCCGTTTGGATGCATACGAGAGAAAAGAAATAAAATGATATTATTAATTACAAGAGAAAAAAAACGAAAAAAAATGATATCAATAATCTCTATTTATGTTTAGATATATAAGATATTAAAAAAAAGAAATGATAATATTCTTATTTGGTTAAAATAAAGGATAGAAAAAAAGAAAAAAAAAAAAGATAACAATCAAATTATTTTCGTACCTTTTTAATTAGATGTGACATGGGTGGAAACAATTTTCACCTTCTAATTGTTAAGGACAATTTTGAAATTATAAAATACAAATTAACCCATCATCCTTTCTCTCCCTATCTCTCATTTTTGGAAGAATATGAAATGAGCTATCCCTCTCAATCATTTCATTTATCTCACTTTAAACAACCCAAACACAATTTACATTATCCTTTCTTTTCTTTTCTCAGTCCTCACTATCCTTTCAAATCCCTCAATCCAAACGAAACCTAAGAAATTTAATTTGGAATGATTGAATTGGGTGGGGGATCCAAATGGAGCCTAAGAAATTTGATTTGGAATGATTGAATTTGGGGGGTGGGGTGGTTGCCCCTAATTGTTGGGGAAAAATTAATTAGAATTAATACTTAAAAAAATTGGGCAATTGCCCATAAGGGCATATGGAGATAACAATCCTATACATACACGCAAAACACAATATTTTACATTGTTCACCCATCTCACGGAGAGAGATTTTCACTATTACCAATCAATGAAGAGAATATACAACATGTCAATACCCTACTTACTCATTATCTCTTTTGAGGTTACATGTAGACATTCGAGAATTACATACACTCTACTCTCTCCTTACAACACACTCTTAAACCCCTCACATCTTTTCTCTCTTCTCTCTCTATAAACCTCTTATACCCATCTCTATTTATAAAGTCTTCAAAACACAATTTCTTGTTGGACAAGTATTCCCCAATTTATTTACAAGGAGTTATCATATCTGTTTTCAACTCTAAAATAGCAGGTACAACTCTTTCCCAAATCTTCAGCCTTTTCCCTGGCTTCCAAAACTTATTAGGAAACTGTTTCTCGCAACTTCCAAAAACTCAATGTCCAAGTTGAACCGATTCAGCCCCATATGAACCGGTTTAACATTGGCACTACTCAAAAATTGATGTCATACTTGAACCGATTCAACTTTGATAATAGTCAAAACAAAACACCGAAATATGCAAATTTGACCCCCCAAGTAATCAACACGTAATCAGGTTATATCTTCACGTGCTCCTCCATTGTCCCACTTCGAATAAGAATTTCTTCATAACTCTACCCCTACTGAAAAAAATTTCACCTCAAATAAAGTCCTATACTAAACTTGAGAAACAAACACTAACAATATCATAGGTTGGTGCTTGAGAGAGTAAGAACTGAGTAACACGGTTTGGTGTTCAAAATATCTACTGGTGTAATTCTTCATGAAACCCGTGAATGGGTGGGGCATTCTCTACAATTAATCTTTTTAATTCATTATGGAGAAATTGCTTCTCTCAGTGGACGTAAGTTAAGAAATAGTGTGTTGTATATGTTTGTTTGTTTTGTGATTGGATCTCTATGTTTGTAACGTGATTTCCTGTGCCAAACAAATTGAATTTAATTCCCAACATATGTGTGTGTGTGTATATATATATTTATATTTGTTTGTGTGCATGTATCTCTTCATTTTAGATGTTTAGTGGAGCAATAGATCATTTTGCCCAAGAAAACCATGGCATGTTATTCTGAAACTTTTTCAAGGAGTACTTGATTCAGCTTTACGACATTTAGGAGTCACAAAATAATTGAGACAACTTAGTGCCATATGATTTCTGAACAGACTAGAATTTTCCTCTAAGAACTTGCACTGGTGATAAAAAGGTCAACAGTGGTGAAAATAAAAGTCAAAAAAGGCTTATCCAAAAAATAAAAAAAAAATAAAATAATAATAATAATAAATTAGGTGAGGGGACCCACTTTAGATTTGGATAACCGGACAGATCTTGCTTATGATATATTAAAATAGCGGACATACTATGTTTCAGACAAACTTTAATAACATGCTTGAGACAAATTTGCAATATCTTTGCTTTGAATGGCTAAGATCTCACTTTTGATAGGGACTCTTTAAAAGTATTGCTCAGTAAGTGAGGTGGGTTGACCTTAGATGGAGCCACAACCCCCGATAATGTGGACCACGGACCGGTTGGTGTTCACAGATTACAGTCTGCCAATCTGATGACCCTTTCCCAGAAAATAAAAGGGAAAATCAGTAGTGAAAACATGGCTTATAATAGCTAATAACTGATCGTCGTGTTTAGTCGAATCTATGTCCATGGTCACCCTTCCTCAAGGTGTTGGAATCTTAGTGCTGGCTCAAAGTACACACATGTGAACCGTTCGATACAATACAGCACTCGGAAAAGAATCCGAACTCTTCCTAGCGGAGTCCCTTGTGTTGTGAACCGTCCAACATAATCTGGTATCCGGTCTCTTCGTATTGATGAGACACTTCTCCATGTACTTGAACTAAATGACACACAAAAAATATCATTCACCCACCGAACCGAGGGATCCGAATCTTCTCGTACAGTACTTTATTGTGCATATGCAATAATTTTACAAGAATGCAACAACCGTCACTTTCAAATAATAGGTTTTGCCAGGTCTGGTCTAAGTAGTGAATGTTGTAACCACAAAAAAAAAAATTAAAAAAAAATAAAAAAAATTACTTCTATTGGAAGAATTTGGATCATCCCCTTCGAGATAGGATGTTTCCTCTTGAGAAACTTTTTAGAGGATCCAAACTGTTGATACGTCATTTTATTATAACGGACACATTTAATTATAATTGATACATTTAATTACATGACACTCGGTGCTTGTCCCAACCCACCCAATAACTTCTCCTTATCTTGGCCTTGATGCCTATCCGTACCGAAGCCTATGTTATAGCCATGGTCAGGGTCAGAATACCTAGCATGTACCTATCCTAAGTTATAAATTATTCTGGAGAGGGACATCAATAATGGACCCAATCAACTCAGCATCACATGCCACACATGGGCTTTCTCAGATACAGCATATTAACGGCTGGCAATTCTGCATTTCTTTTTAAGAAAATGAATTAAGTATATGAACAATCTCATAGCACAACCTCAATTATTGCTTGTAACTTTCCTTTCATATATATATACGGATATTCGTGGTAAAGGGAACTCGGACATGAACACAACCGCTTTAAGAGCTAAACGCTTTACCAATTAGTCCATTGGTAATGCCCTTCTCAACAATCAAATGGACCATCGAATTTGTAGATAAAAGACTGCGAATAATTGTTTCTAGGGAAGCTCTGAACTGCTTAAATCTTTTTTCCTTTTCCCATTTTTTTGTAGTTCAGGCAAGAAAATTATCAGGACTCTCAATAGTTACCTTAACCAAGTTCTTATTAGAATGGGTAAGATAAAAGTTACATACATTCATAGTGTACCTTGAACAAGAACAACAATTAAAAAAAAAAAATTTTGGCTACCTCAATGTATGAGGCTCCCGCCACTGCCGGGTTTGAGAGGCTATTTTCTGTTTTGAACCCGTGACCTCCAGGTCACAATGGGGCAACTTTACTGTTGCGCCAAGGTCCACCCTCGCAACTTTATCAATTTTGTCAAGTTAAAATTAATGCTTTCAAAGATGTTAAAACCACATAAAAAGGTCATACAAATATGTGCACACAGTGTGCACGCACACAATAAGATGTTGATAAGAACACACATGATATAGATGTTCCACATACAGTATAGTTCGCTTTACATACGCAACAATCGTTGACGGGGACAGGAACTCCAGCACCCACAGATCACTTAAAGTTGCAAACATACTCCCAGATAAAGGGTCTTAATGCATATTTGTAATATAGACTAAAAACAAAGCTTAGAGAACATGAAGTTCCAAGAAATGCAAACACATTGATGATAACACAGCTCCTACTCACTATCTGTTGTCCACAGTGTCAACGTCTTGATGACTCACCCGAACTGAAGTATGGGTCGTGTCCTTCTTCTTGACCCTTCCCCCAATTCTTTTTCTCCCGTTCTGCTGGATTCATAGCAACAATCATGTGCAAACACTACAGCTAGTTTCTGTTTCGGGATTTCTCCACGGCCCTTGGAGCTGTGCACGAAACCAAAAGATTGCTTTAGAAATGCATTCATGCCATCCAACATAATACAAACAGCAAAAATCAAAGAAGGGAAACAATAAAGCAAAGCATAAAATAAGCAATCAACATTTCCACATATGCAGAAGCACCACCTCGGCGCTCACATGCATAATTGACCATGGTTTTCCTAACCACAATAGTTCACACTTCTCAAACTTCAAGACCAATGAAATATTTAACCAAATTTATAGAATTAGTAAATAGTAGGGAAAAGGAAACAAAACCAATTCTGAAAATGTTGACGTATACAATTCTCAAATTTGAAACAAAACAAGTAGATAATAAGATTAAAGATTTTCTTGATGAAATTTGTACATCATTGAGACTAATGAAAATTGGAAATCTCCAGTCCAAGTTGAATCATGCTAAAAACAACTAGAATCAATCCTGAATCACATTTTTAGACCGATTCAAATTGATGCAACACTCCCTTTTTTAACTTTTTCCCTTCAAGCAAAATTTTCCCCCCCTTTTTTTTTTTGTCAAATTTAAACTAAATGAAATGTGCATCCACATGGATTTTATATGCCTACGTCAAAACATCATAATCTATCATCATAGTTTTTTTCCCAGGCAATAACTTCCACAATGCACTTGTTGAAACTTGAAACCTCCACCTTCCACTTTGAAAGGAAAGGAAAAGGAGATCTATGCCACATGCCTAGATGGTAATCTACCATCATAGTTTATAGTATAAATTAGTGATACTAGAAAATATCATTAGAGAGATTTGCAAGAATAAACTCAAAGATATTGTAAGTTCATAAAAGGAGTACAACTGTACATTAATCAATCATTCACCACTAGAGGGGTGGCACAAGTAATGTGCATGCAACATTGTACCTAGCTTACTTCCCAATTCAGTCATCATACATTATTCTTTATATTACCTTCATCTACCGCCATTCCACTCTCTAAAGATTAGTTGCAACCTTTTCCTAGAAGTGATCTCATTTAGAAAGAGAACGGAGAGGGGAAGGCCAAGGTACATCTAAATAAATCCTCAGTTAAATCAATATTACATATAATCTCATGGCAGTAATCTCATAACCAGATGAAGAGTATTATTTTGCTACCCTAGTTGTGATAGAATATATGCAATTTTCAACTAGATCAAAACTCCATATAATTGTGAGTGTCATGCATCTTTATACATGTCGCATTTGCAAACCACATTGTCAAAATATGGATGTTGAAAGTGATACATATATGTGATTTTTAAATTACTATAAACAGGCATGCCTAAGAGCAAGTGGTTTTGCTAATGAAATCTGGTAAACCTATTCAGCATAATATTTTAGTAGTTCTCTGATTCATAGCATAGTTTTTAATAGTTAACCATATTGTCACATAATACTATTACAAAGGGCAATGCCATTGCAAGCCAATATATTGGTCCCACTTAAATCACAGCTGTTTTGGCTGCATAACAGCAGTTACAGGCTGTTAATGGCCATTATATACAATGAAAGCACTGTAATGATAGCGAGCGAGATCACTTTTTCCCAACTACTTCGCAATTTCAATTTTTAAACCTGCCAAAGAGACAGCCTAACTTTTTTTTTGATAAGTGCCGAAAAGACGGCCTAATACTAGATTAGATTAGTCTCTAGATTTACAACACAAGCAATCTATGCTTATATCTTAAATAAAATCTTGAGACATTTAATTCAATCAGTAAAATTCAAATTGTTTAACTTTTTTCATTTTTTTAAGTGATTAAGTTTTCTCTCTTAAAAATTTGTTGTTTGCTGTAAGATTGTTGGTTGTTATTGTTCAAAAATTCACTATGAATTGTTGAGAGAAAAATTAGAGATTGATGATTGCGGTTGATTTTAGTTAGGGGTGGTTGTGGGGGAACCACTGGTGGCAGAAGACATTAGTGAGTGGATGTAAGGTTTATTTGAGATGAGAAGGAGAAAAGAGAGTTTGCATGAAAGATGGAAAGAAAGATGTAGTTTTGGAGATGTAATCGATCAAAAATTGTAAGGTAGTTTTAGAAAGTGAGGATTACTTCCATGATATAAGTTGTCATTTGCTTTCCATGAATTTGATTTACTTTGAGACATGTATATGAAAGAAAATATTGACAATTTAATAGACTGCAATTTTATTATTGCTTCTTTTTTTAAAGAATTATATCATAATACCATACTTGGTTAATATGATATTGATCTTCTTCACATGGTTATTTGAACTTTTCAATTTTTACATCACCACCAACTCATTTGTTAAAGCTAATTCAAATTACTTTCAATTTATTCCTGTAAGTGCATCATCTTTTGTTATATGGCGGTTACCAGTTAAATATACTAAGGATTTGTTTGGTTTTGTTTTCTAAGAATAATTTTTAGCTTTCAGATAATAATAAATAGCAATTAATTCAAAAAATTATAATATATTTGGTTGAGTATCCATTAAAGCTCATTCATGGAAATTAAGTTTGTATTAAAAAATAAAAATAAAAGTATGATAATAGTCTTTTATTTTCATCATTCTTGAAAACTCTTTTCAGATAGTGGAACTGAATAGGCCTAGGATTTTCTTGCTATCAACAACTTAAAATTCAATATAAATTAATTTTAAAAATTCAAAACAATGCAATAAAAATTATTAAAATCCAACTTTATGTGATTCTGAGACTAAAGCATGGAAGACCCAAAAAAACAAATTCACAACTCTGGTAACTGAGTTTGTTACCACCCTATATCTAAGTTAATGCAACTTTTACCATTATGGTGGCCGGCCATTCTCATTATTTAAAACCTTGCTTCTTAGAGTGTTTAAATTGTTATTTTACAAAGGAGTTCCATATATATGTGTGTGCGTGTATTGACATTCTTTCCCAAGATATTGGTTGGTGAGCATGACTTCTACACTAAATGCTCGTTTGCTTATTTTGTATATAATACTCTCGTAACATATTTAGCTCCTTATTCCATACATCACTGTTCCAGCCCTCGATAAACTTTCTACGAAGGACCAAAATATTTCCTCATATCCCCACAATTTCTTTCATCTATTTTTCCCTTGAAACTTCCATGCATCCTGCAACGTATCACAAGGTTGACAACTTTGTTGCACTTCACCAATTAAATATTTGAGTTAAGATTTGTCAAATTCTAGTTTATTTTTACACAATTGTAACAAACAAAGAACGTGCCATGTCAAACATAATTAATATATTTAATTTTGTTTAAATATATCTCAAGGGTTGTACCCCCTTAGAATGGACATTTTTGCATATATTCCAAGGGTGCAATACAAGCAAATTTCCAGAGACAGTTTGCTCTTAATAAATCACAGACATGATATTAATTTATAAAAGAATTCCATGAGTCAGAGAAAATCAAATGGACAACCAAATATACGTACCAAGGCCAATGGCATCAGAACTCTTCATAATCCTCAGTCTCTTGCACGTGGCAGTAAACATCCTGCCACAGGGCCAAACAATAATTAGATTGCATACATAATTTGCAGCATATGGAAAATACTTTGGCCAACAATCAATAAGATGTTAAATTCCAGATTTCCAAAAATTTTGATGCAGATATCAGTTTACCAAGAATAAATTATAACCAGTAGCAATATTCTAAAATTAATCATTAGGTTCAAATTTGTACCATTGGAGCATTCTAAAATTCCAGTTGTAAAATTAATTTCTTAATATTATCATATGCAAAAAAATATTTTTTATTTGAGCAGCCAAAAAGATTAACACACTACTAATGTAGCAGAAGTCGCATATTCTAATTTGAAGCAAGGATTAACAGAAAACATAAATGGATAAGAGCTTACTCCCAAGGCACATCACCCACTAGCATCCAATCACCGTCCTTATCCTCATATGTGAGTACATATTCTGATCCATGTAACAAATCCTTCAGCTTGCTCTCGCTCAGCATCTCCGTGCCTGGAACTCCATGAGATCCATACTGACCTGAGATCATACAAAAATGGCAATAACTGGCCATATGCAAGTATCTCTAAAGTGCGAAACATCAGCTCCATCTACATTACAAAAATATTTTTTCTACCGAGATCATTTTCTCAATTGAAATTTCAAAATGCTCACCAATGGTAAAACAGCTGAACATCTTCTCAAGGGCGGAAGAGAGCTCCTGATACATGGAGTAATTTCTCAAATCCACTTTCCTTAGATAAGGAGCACCATCCATGCTGACTTTAACAAACAGAGCACCAGGCCCTGCTTTTCCATCGACCTCATCAGTGTTCCTTGACGTGGTAGCCAATGTATTCTTCCTAAAGGACCTTATAGGTGGCCAACCAACAACCTGTGCCCTGCCATGAAATAGAAGACACGGGACCACAAGGTTAAGGCTGAAAGTCTACATGAATCCTTCCTTTCAAGTTATCTGTACTTACTTGGTAGCAGGTGCGCTGCTATTGTTATTCGTGGAGCCAATACGGTTCGAGCTGTTCTCATTTATAGAACGAGGTCTCTCCTGAACAACATTTTGGGGTACTGCCTCCTTCATTTTGGCAGGCTGAGTCCCAGAGATCTCTTTTACAGTATTAGATTTAACTCCTAAATTTGGAGAAGGCCTGGGTGACAGTATCACATTAACATCTGAGCTGGCAAGAAATTTCCCCTGTATCACAAATTGGGTTGTCTCTAGTTAGATCCTTTAGGAGAAAACATTTGATTTCATAAAGTTAAAGAACAAATTTCACCTCTGAGAATCCATCCATAGCATCAGAGAATCCTCTTTTGTTGCCTGAAATGACTGTCTTATGCGACGACAAGTCATTATCCTTTGAAGGATGCAGAGGGAATAAGGGCTTCTCATCAAGTTTTGCAGAGCCTAGCAGGCAGAGGCTTGGGTCCCTTCCAGGAGATTGGGATCCAGGAAGTCCAAGCCTCAGCTCCGTAGCCTTCAAATTCAGGTTTCTATTGTTATCATCTGATGTGGTGGAGATCGTAGAGCTGTCCACCGAAGAACAATCAGATAACCCCATATAGTTACGCTCCTTTAACGGTGAACTATTTTGGCATATACTTTCCATGGAGTCTGAAGATTCCAACAGAGTTATGTTGCTCTGTCCCTCTTCCTCCCCAACACCAAGGTGTGGTGGTGACATCTCAATTCAAGATCCAATTCCGATATATGTATTTTTTATACCTACTCATGTCAGAAAATTTAAATTAAAACTCTAACCTTCCATTTGAAAATTCCAACAAGAGAGAAATGCAATAAAAATTTAAAAAGATAAACTAATGAATGAAGACTGAAAAGATAAAGGTCAACACATTTGAATAACAGTTGGCCAAACTTGTTAAACAAACGATCTAACAAAATACAACTGAATGATGAATTCATGTACTTGCTTTTCTAATCAAACATCTCTTTGATCACAAATCATTTCTCAGTATATAAGCTACCAAAAAATAGTAGTGGTACATAAATACCCAAGTTTTTTAAAATAAATAATAATATCCCAAAGAAATTTGCCCAAAAAACGAAAAAAGAATAAAGATTTGACAATGGATGAAATTGGCTTAATACCAAAGTAGTCAACATCAACAATGGATCTCTATCACAGTTTCAGGAGATAATTGTATGAATGCACTAACACAGAACTTTTGGGATTAAACCCTAACTCAGTGATAAATCTTGACTAACAGGGAAGTAAAAACAATTAGAATCAGACAGATCATATTTACTTCAACCAAAACAACTAAACAAGTATGGACTTGTATATGTGTGTGTCTATATATATATATATATATATATATATACACACACACACACTTAAATATACATGCACACAATTTTTTTAAGAAATTTAAGCTCAAAAAAAAGAAGGATGGATCTGAAACATCAAGTGCAATCAGTAACCTTAAAGCTTGAAGTCAACGAAATTTTTTTTAAAAAAAATAAACATACAATTATAGCTAAAGTTAGCTCAATTCAAATGTCAAAGAACTACACAACAGATCTAGATAAGATCAAACGATACAAACCGTAAGCAAGTGCCAAAATAAAAAATAAAAAATAAAACAAAAACAAAAACAATTATCAGAGAAAAAATTGCAAGCATGGAGTAACAAACAACACTAACATTCACAGGGATTGATGATTTCATATGTAAGAAGAAAAAACAAACAAAAAATCAGAGAAGATGAAAGAAAATTTAATCTGAAGGATGCGACAAACGACTCGTCTGCGAGTTCAAAACGGGATGGAAATTTGGAAGCGAAGCTAGGAGAGGACGGCTTACCAGAAGAAGCTTTTTGATCAGCAGCTGAGGAGAGAGAAGATGACGGAGTGAGTCTTTCGATTTTCAGAGAAAATTTGCAGAGAGAGAGAGAGAGGGGGAGAGAGAGAGCTATGGACTTCCATTTGGCAGAAGGTTAAAAAAGTTTATTTGCTGTTCGATGTGAATTTCATTTCCAATCAAATAAGACTTTAAGGCTCCTTTGTTTGGATGGTAAAATAGTTTTTTTATTTTTTGATGTTTTGTTGTCAAAATATGAATAAAATATTTATCTAATAAAACTATTTTTTTTAACAAGAAAAAACAAAATTAATTTATTCACAAATTTTTGTTAAGCTATTTTACATACCTAATTCAATAGACTTTGACAAATACTGAAAAATAATAAAATATATATTTTACCTAAAACTAAAAATACAAAAAAAAATTACAACGAACAATATGAGGCATTTTTTTTTTTTTGTCTTCCTTCTTAGATGGTTCTCACTACTCATCATACACTCCCTTTAAGAAATTATTTATACCCAAGATGAGGCAAAACTTAAATATAATGCTTCCAAATAAAAATTTTCACTTAGCAAATGTTATCATTTATATATATATATATATATATATATATATATTATATAAAAATTAGAAGTTACCTATCCGAAACCAAATACATCGTGAAAATTTAGAATATCCTTAGCGTTATACCCTTAAATCTCTTAATTCTTGGATGTAGTAGCACGACTAACCGAATGGATGTTTTAATGACTAAGAGAGTATTCTTAAAATATTCTAGAATTTCTCATGGTTCATACATCTTATTCTTTCGTGCATTGGATTAGTCCTTTCTTTTATATATTTCAAAAACTTTACTTTTCAAAATTCAAAAAAATTCTTATTGAAAATGAAAAATGATATATTCTTTACTTAAGTTTTTTAATAAATATTTGTTTTGATAAAATATAATGACAATTTGTTTTTCTTAAATCTAGAGTATATGAGTACTTTTTGAAATAACTAAAAAATAGGTGTTTGCTTTTCAAAGTTATAAGTATGCTATTTTTTTTTTAATTAAACATATGGGGTGTAAAAATTATATTTCAATGACAGATCAAAATTTGGACACTCATTAACATTAATGTGGTGTGTTTTGTAACTAGTAAGTACATCTTCCTAGAGTATAACTGCATTTACTTTAGAAATTCACTATAATATTTGTAAAATTTATTTATACAATAGTAAAATTATAAAATAAATACGGAGTACGTTAAAACTTGAAATAAAAACGACCTCATTGTGACGAGTGAGTGATGTGGTGTGTTTTGTGTCTTTTATTGGCACCCCAAAGTAATGTGTGAAAGAGAAGTACTATAGAGGATTTTGACTTTTTACTAATTCTTACAATATCTTACAAATTTTATAAAAAAAACAAATTTCTAAAAAAAAAAGGGGGAAAAAAATTTAATTTTCAAAACTTGTAATCAATAAACAAATGTCAATTAAGTGCCTTAATATGCATGTGAGAATGAACACTGTGTTTATTGGATCAATGCAAAGTTTGCATTTAGCCTTGGTAACACTAGGTTAGTAGTTTTTTTTTTTTTTTTTTTTCCTTCTTTGTGGGTAGGTCAAACAACTAGGTTAATAGGTTACAACGACAAATTCAAAGGTTATCAAATTTATAATCTACATGTTTGGAGGTAAACTATGTTGTGTTGTCTCCTTCTGGTTCCGAACGACATTGGCAAATAATTGTCATTAATGTTAGAGTCAACTTTTTTATTATAATTTGTTTTTTAACTGTCAACTTTGGTTCAACTAGACGGCCACACGCCCCCCAAAAATAATAAAATAAAAACCTTAGAAAAATTGGAAATATCCCCATAAACGTAATCATAAATCTAATACATAATACATCAATGCACAAATTTAATTGGCTTACTTTTAATTTTAATTATAAATAAACAAATGAATGAAATGAAAACTATATTCAAACTTCATTACAAACTCGGATTGAAAACTAAGTGGGTGTGTGAGTTCGATTAAGTGGATTGGTAAGTGTGATGCGCGTGAGTTTCTTACTAATAATAAAATAAATAAATAAACAAAAAACAAAAGCAAAAACTAGGATTGAAAAATGATTTTAATTTCAATACATGTGAACAATATATATAGGAAGAAGAGGTTGATTAGGATCTATACAAATCATGCCCTTTTTTGTTGTTTTCTTAACTAAGTTTAGGGTGAAAATTTCAATGGAATAATCTAATGAGAAGGTTCACTTCGAATTCATTTGAAGTCACACTTAACCAAAAATGAAAAGAAAAAAAAAAATTCGTAATCATTTGATGCACATGAGAAGCGAGACTAAATTTGATCCTAATAGAGAGATTGGGTGTTCGAGCTTCTATAGAGACATAAGTGTGTGACTGATCATTGGTTGAGTAGCACATAAGTATTATATACTTTCCATTAGGACCACATTTAGTCTCGCTTGATGTGTTTAAGAGCGAGAATGCACGTGATCCTAAACTAATAACTATAAAGTGTTAACCAAGTTTTTATGAAGGAAGTATAATACAGACTATCATATTAAATGGGCAATAATTCAGTTGATTCAAGAAGGACGGTGGTGTTCGAGTCTCCATAAAAGCACGAGTCTCTATAGAAACACGAGTGTGTGACTAATCAATGGTTGAATTACTCCATAGGTGTGACTAGTCAAGGGTTGAATTACTCCATAGGTATTTCAAACTTCCTCATGCATGAAAAAACAGGCCTTTTTTTAACCTCCGATGAAGTGATATTAACAAGGGAATGGAAAAAGACATTTTTACCCCTGATGCAGGGATATTAACGAGGGAAGACATCTGAGGAATGATTAGCTAAAGATTGTCGGTTGGCCAGTTTTAATGGAAATGGAAAGCATAAATAGGACAATAGCCAAGTGAGTGAGCAGCAAAGTAATAATGAGATTCGAAGAAAATGACTATATGTTTAGCCTAATCTAACAAAATTCAACCACCTCACTCATTGCTCTTTTATTTCTTTTTCCTTCCTATTTCTTTTTTTAATTGCAGCAGAAAGATTCTGTTTTCCCTGCCCGTGTTAGATGCCATTCATAATTTAATGTCCATTTAATACATTCAATCCACATGCTCGACATTGAATCAACACTACCCAACTGCTGCTAGATGCTGTAGATTGCAAATTTGGGGTCCACTGGTTCTAAATAAGGAAAAATATTGAATTAATTTATTTTTAAGTGCTTTAGCGAAACAAAAATATGAAACTTGTTTGATAAAATTTGATAAAATTTGTTGCGATTTGAATAGTATTAAAATGCTTTCGAAAAAGAAGCTAAAATCAGAAGCAAAAAATTGTTACTTCTGGTTGCTTTCACACTGTAGCAGAAATACTATTCACAAAGAAAAAAAAAAAAAAATCTTTAAAATGACAATTTTAACTAGCTATTTAATTTTTCAAACTTTTAACACATTTTTACTAAATATGTTTTCATATTTTTGTTTTCAAAAATTTTGCAATAAATATACGTTAGGTAACAGGCTTTCAAATAGTATTGAACACACTGCAAAGCAGAAGAAACATTTCTTCTATTTCGACTCAAAGCAAAAATATAAAGCAATTTTGGTTGCCAAACATGTTAGAGTTGTGGCTCAAATTTTGGCTAAAATCCCATTATGAAAAAGTGAACTGGTTCCATTAAATCGGAATCGGTTGAGCTTGAGCAAAATGGTTGGATTGGTGACCAAATATGTGGAACCGGTTGCGCTGGTGTGTGAATTAGTTTCTATTAGGTTGTATTCTAATTTAGGAAGTTGTTGAGCAGGCTTGGTATGAAAATTCCTTAGTAAGCAAATTGTGATATCTTCTCCAACAAGGAAATTGGTATGAAGACTCTATAAATAGAAATGAGTGTGAAAGATTAGCGTAAAGAGAGAAAAATGAGGCAATTGTAGAGAGAAAAAATGAGTTTAGTTTGTGACAATTATAGTTAAGTTTTGCTTGTGTGTGCGCTTTTATTTATTTTATTTGCCAATTGTGTATGTGAAATCCTAACAAAACGGCTCTATATGATTCATCAGATGATGGTTACAATCCATTCGAATGCGTGACTCTCACCAAATTCGGTGAAAGTATCATTTTCCTTTCCGTACGTAAATTTATAAATGTTATTATTCACAACACCTAATAGATATCGAATTGAAGAAAATTTAGTCCTACAAATTTTATTCAATCCGAAATTTTTATGATTGATATTGCAGAGAAGAGTTGGACTTCTGATTTTTGAATGTGGACTATTTGCATATGAATGTGGTGTTTTTTTGGAATAAAGTTTTAGTGGCTTTTGGTAGTGAGAATATCAACATTTATAGTTTAGATGTCTAAGAAATGGAGTCTCGTATTTTTCTTGGAATGTTAATATCACTTTCCAATATATTCTTTCACAATAATTTTAATTTATTCATTCCTAAAATTATAGATCAAGTAATTACTTAAAATACTTGACCACTTTAAACATATAATGGTTTAACAATTAATAAAGAAAATAGTTGTGTATAAACTTGGATGGATTCCTTAATAGAATTGACACATATCATGATATTATTAATTAAACCTCATTAAACACTCCATTTGGAATCAATTTGATCTAAGTAAAATATATACATATATATATATATATATATATAGTTAATTGATTATTATTATTTTTAAAAATTTAATTTAAAAATTATAATGAATAGAATCATAGATGGGATACTAAACTTTTCTAATTAGCCCTAAAGAGGGATATCTTCTTTACATAGTTAAATGCAAGCATTTATATTTTTACAATACTATACTCTTTGGATAATGTTTGTAAAGATATTTGTTATCGAAACAGTGGGAGTGAATTGATAACTTGTTTTTCGTTTTTTTTTTTTTTTTTTTTCTTTTTCTTTTGTTTTTCTTTTTACTTGTTAAATGAGATTCAAATATTCCATCTTTCTTTTGCAAAAGGAGAAATTATATCAGCTAGACTAATACTCCATCTTTCTCAATTTAATTGTTCATATTTCTTTTTTGAATTGTCCCAAAATACTAGTCCACCTTCAAACAAAATATTTAGCATCTTTTCACAAAATACTCTTTAAGTTTTAAAAATAAAAAATAAAAAATTTC